CCCCGGCCGCTCGCGGCGGCGCGTCACGTGCCTCCCCGCTGCTCCTCCTCCTGCTCGTGCCCTCCCCGCGCCTGGCCGCCGCCGCCCCGCGCAGGCCTCTGGCCGACTGGGAGCGCTCGCGCGCGGGGCGTTCGGCTGTCCCGGCCGGGCGCGGCGGCGGCGGCGCGTGGAGATGCCCGCCGGGCGCGCTCCCCCTGTGCCTCGGCCGAGCGGCCGCGCTCGCTTCCTCGAGGAGAGGTGAGGGCTGGACCGGGGCGGCGGGAGGGCGGGTCAGCCTAGGTCGCCGGGTTCTTCCCGAGCGTAGGGACGACGGTCTGTCTGGTCCCGCCCTTCTGGTCCGCGTTGGCCTGCGCTTGGTCAGCTGAGTGGATCCGAATTATTCGGAGTGTACGGCGCAGATTTTAATGGGATGCGGGAGGCGCCCACGCGCGGTGGTGGAGCTGCCGCGTGGCGCCCGCTGGCAGGTTTCTGTTTGTCCGGTGCACGACGTGTCGCGACCCGGGTGACGGGATGTGCAGGAGGCTTGCGGGTTTGAGAGTCGAAGCTTTAAGAAATGGAAGGATTGTTGTACCATTTAATTTCAAACTCTCACAGGTTCATTAATTCATTCATTAAGCACTGGCACCTCATCCGTGCCTGGCACTTTTCTAGCTACTCGGAATGTATCAGTCAAAATCTCTTCCTTGGAGCTTCATTCTGGCAGAGGAGATGAGGGTGTGTGTGTATCATTCATGCATACCTATATTATATATGAACATAACCTGATAAATGTGGGAAAAAATAGAGGGGGTAAGGGTTAGGAAGTAGTCTGGGTCTCCAGTTACTAATATAAATAGAGTCATCAAAATAGGTTTCACTGAGAAGGTGGCATTTGATTAAATACTTGAAGGAGGTGAGGACAGTCACGGCTGTGCATTAGGTTAGGAAAGTCTAAACAGGCTCAGTTTACTAGCCCCAAGTTGTTCATAAAAAAATCACTTTGGGTAATCTTTACTAATTAGCAAACCTGGCAAAAATATAACTTTGGTTAGTTTATACATATCCATTAATGGCTATCCGTAACCACACTGGCGGCTGTTTTAAAAATATTTTTCTCAAGGGCAATGCTTTGTAGTGTTGTTTGCATCTAAAATTTAAGGGTACCTTTGGCTGGGGGAGAAACTGGCAGAGCAAAAGAGTAAAGATAGCCTTACATACGGAGGATGGGGAATGAGGAGTGAACTCTGCAGTGTCCTGCAGTAATTATGAGTCTTTATTTCTGTACTTTGTCTTTTGTTGCTCTTTTTTTTTTTGGCAAGTGGTAACTTGTGATTTATTTTCCTCTCATAATTATATCAGCAAATGAGGGTTTTGTTCTTTTGTCGTCAGCCTTGTGACCTGTTTGGTGCCCAGGGTTCTCAGTAGAGCTCCTTAGACTTAAGGATGTGTATGGCTAGGAAGTTTGTGCTGGGTTGTCCTCTGTCCACGGCTAACTTTGGGCTTCTTTTGTGTGTTTTAATATCCTTTTGATAGGCTGAAGTCCCCCCTCCAAGAGGAATTACATATTACACTGTAACATAGCTGAGTTTACTTGTTTCCTGGTTATTCGTGGGAATTTGTAGTTCTTGGACCATAGTTACTGGTTGTCACAATAAAGGAGGAAGAGTGAGTCAGGAGTGCTCCGAAGGCCGGAGAACTGTGTCCTTGGGCGCTGCCCTTTTATGGAAGGGAGATGGCTTTCACCTTCCATCCGCAGGGGTCGGAGGGCCAAGTAGCAGGTGGCTAGCCCTTTTCTCCACTTTTCAGGTAGCAGTATTTCTTTGAGATGTACTTGCGATTGAAACAAATTCCAGTTTTTGGAAAAGAAAAAAATCTGCAGTATCTAAATTAGAATTAGCTTTTGCTTAGAACGTAAAAGTGATAGTTTTTTGGTTTGTGTGTGTATAAGGGGGGTGTTTTGTTTTAACTCACAAATGATTATTTTGCTATTAGAAAAAAGGAATTTGGACCACTTTGGTGGGGAATGTTGATAACGGGGGAGGCTGTGCATTTGAGGGTCAGGGGAGATACGGGATATCTCTGTACCTTCCATTCAGTTTTGCTGTGAATATAAAACAGTTCTATTAAAATTTTTTAAAGAGGAAAAGAAAGAAATTTGGGACGCAAATAATCCCATCCCTTTCCACAAGCCAGTTCTAGACTTAAGTGTTTTGAGCTCCCTGACCCATGGGACAGGCTGGCATGGTTCTGAGATGGGTGGGGTAACCTGTGAAGAGCCCCTTGAGAGATGCTTTCATTCATTCATTCATTCATTCATTCACCCACCACTGGGTCTCAGGTCACCCACCACTGGGTCTCAGGCTAGGTCTGTTCTGTGTCATGGTCTTTTCTCATGGAGGCTAATTTTTGTTCCAGGACCAGAGATAAAGGGTGAAAAAAGAGGTACCAGATTTAAGTGAGCTCATTTGTGTGAAACGGGAGACTGGAGTTGAAGAAGAGAAAGGAATTGATTTCAAATTTTCTTTCTAGGTAGTCTCATGATGCTGATCCTAGAGGCCATACCGTTGAATTTCTTTTTTAAAAGTTATTTCTGGCCTGCAGTATGCCAGGCCCTCTGGCAGATGCTAACAAAAATGACAAAGACTGGCTGCTCTTAGGTAGCTTGGACTAATATACAGATATGAAAAATAGTGCTGTACTAGAGTTATCTGTCCTGGGCTGAGAACACAGATGAGGGAACAGTAAAGGCCACTCGTTGACCTGGGTGGAGGCAGCAGTGAGAACCTTACAGAATAGCACAGTGCCTGGCCCTGAACATAATGGGTGCTTACTTAGCACATTGTCACATTAGATAAAGATTTAAGGATGCTTAAAATTGGTCAGTTGAGAAAGTGGAGCAAGCCAGGTTTAAGAATGGAGTATCAAGGTACGAAAGTGCAGGAAACAGTAGCTTAGGTGGATAGAAAGAAAGCTGGAAGGGTTAAGTGGGCTGAATTAGGACAGGCTTTGCATGCCTTGCCAAGGGCCTTGTGCTCTAAGCTAGTGGCTCTTTGAATCTGAGGGCCTTTTTTTTTTTAACTGGTGACCACACATATACATAGTATAATTGTTGCATTTTTTTATTTTGTCAGTCTACAAACAATGCTGGGTACAAAGTGGTTATTGGATCTCTTAAGCTTATCTTGTTGCTGTGACCACAGTCACAGACCCTTTCCAGGTTGCCAGTAATTTGGGAACCACTGCTGTGGGCTCACAGAGCAGCATCATGTCACACTTTTGCTTACTTGCAGTTTCCTTTGAGTGTTTAGGGGTGAAGGACTGAGACTAAGAGTTGATTAGCTAAAGTATCTTTCTGGTCATTGAGGAGAGCTGCTGGGAACACCTTTGAACTTGGAGTTAGTAGATGACATTTCCCTCTTCTGCCACAACACCTGGCATCGTAGAAAAGCAGGGACAGAGATGTAGCAAGACTTCTGTATAGCTGTTTTTATTACAATTAAGTGAAGGGTTTTTATTTTATATTGTCCATCTCTTTTTTTTTTCTTTTGAGTCCAAAATGTCTCTTTTAGTGTGTAAGGGTAAGGAGCTATTATGTTTAAATGTCCTTTCCTGACAGAATTCCATATTCGCATTGCTAGTTTTTTCATTTTTTTTTTTAACTCTCTTTGTGGTTTGTGGACCACAAAAACCAGGAAACCATTACTAAAGGAATAAAATACTTCAAATGAGCCCTTTGATTTTTACACAATGGGTTGGATCTCTGGTTAGATGCACAGAAATTCATAGAAAAGGTAATACATAAATACTATTCTATTTCTACATAAATACAAAAAGCCTACATAAAGGTAGGCTTTTGCAGAGACAGGGAAAGAAAACTACAGGCCAGTATCTCCTAGGAAAATACTAGTAAGAGCTCCGAGAGGGCTCGCTCCACCTTAGGTGCTCGGGAGGGCTGTGGGTCCCAGGTAGACCCCCGTGAAGAGATTTGCACAGTGATTCGTCAGTGGGCATTCAGGGACGCGACGCCATCCGAGACACGCGACTGAAGGACCTTCAGAGCATAAGCTTGTACACGGGCACTGACACTCTGGCTGTACACACTTCTGTTTCTGTTCTTTCGCCCCCTGCTTCTTAAAGGGTCGTTAAACATCAGATCAGATGGGAACTTAGACTCTGTGATGATCCTCAGATAAGGAAAACAGGAAAAGGAGGGGTTAATGATTTGCCCACCTTCACCCCTCCATGCCTTACCAGTGTGACGACAAAATGGGAAAGGGAGAGGAAGAGTGACAGGCTTTTTGGAGAAGGTCAGTGCTGACCAACTTTGCAGGGCGAACAGGGTTTGAACCAGCAGAGACACTGAAAGGCAAGGCGATGAGAAAAGGCTGGGAAGCTGTAATGTGCCAGGGAGTGGAAGTGAGCATCCAGGGCCTGGGATTCCTCTGCGGGGCCTCATCTCAGTTGACCTGCCTCTTCTGGTTTGGCCCCATCAGATGGACCCTCCAGAGGTGGCCTCCTCCCTCCCTCCTGCCCCAAGGGCAAGTTGGCTGAAAAGGACAAGCTAGATTCCCTTTGCACAGAGGGAATAGAAAAATAATGTGTTGGTTATAGAAATAGCATTGTGCACCCTGACCAAGCAAACCGAATCCAGCAATATGTAAAAAAAGAGGATCCGCCATGGCCAAACGGGATTTCGTCTCAGGAACAGCAGGTTCACTTAGCATCTGAAGATCAGTTCAGTGCTGTGTGCCATGTTAACAACATAAAGGATGGAAACCACATGATCATCTCAAAAGAAGAGAAAGAAGAAGAATTTGATAAAATTCCAAAAGACAAAGAAAAAGACTTTGATGAAATTCCACACCCCTTCATGTTAAAAGACACTTGACAAATTTGGAACGGAAGGAAACAGCCACACCTGATAAAAGGCATCCAAAACACCCGCAGCTAACATTGTACTTGATGGTGAAAGAAGGAGTGCTTGCGTCCCAAGGTCAGGAGCAAGGATGTCTGCTCTCACCATTCAATACAACGTTGTGCTAGAAGTTCTAGCCAGGACAGTTAGGCAAGAAAGTGAAAACTCATCCAGGTTGTAAGAAGAAGTAAATTATTACTGTTCACAGACGACATGACCTTGTACATAGAAAACTCTAAGGAATTCACTAAGAACTATGAAAGCTAGAAAACAAATGGAGCAAGATTACAGGATCCAAGATCAAGATACAAATTGTACAGAAACAAAATTGGTTGTATTTCTGTGCACTAGCAGTGAACTAGCAGTCTGAAAAGTATAAAAAATAATTTCCTTTATAGTAGGATCAAAAGGAATAAAATACTTCAATTTAACCAAAAAAAGCACTAAAGTTATACTGTGAAACCCACATAATTATTAAAGAAATTAAAGACCTAAATAAATGGAGAGACATCCCATGCACGTGGGTTGGAAGAGTTTAATATTGTTAAGGTAGCAGTACTTCCCCAAATTAACCTGTAGATTTTAACACGACCTCTATCAAAGTTTCAAGTGGTTTCTTTGCAGAAATTGATAAACTGATCCTAAATTCATATGGAAATGCAAGGGACTCGGAAGAGCCAAAACAATCTTGAAAAAGAACAGAGTTGGAGGGCTCACTTCCTGACATCAGAACTTACTGCAGAGCTACTGATAATCGAGAAAATGGGGCACCGGCCTGAGGACAGGCATACGGAATAGGATGAAGAACTCAGAGATAAACCCTTGCATTTATGGTCAGTTGATTTTTTGACGAGAGTCACAAGACAATTTAAGGGAGAAGATGGTGCCAGGACAGCTAGACATCCACGTGCAGAAGAGTGAAGTTGAAGCCCCATCTCACTCCATAAACAAAAAGTAAATGGATTAAAGACCTAAAGGTAAGAGCTAAAACTGCAGAACTTAGGGGAGAAAACAAATGTAAATCTATGTGGGCTTGAATTAGCCAATGGTTTCTTAGATACGACCCCAAAAGCACAAGGGACAAAAGATAGTTTTTAAAATTAAAAAATTTTGTGCTTCAGAAGGTGCCATCTAGAAGACAGAAGCCAACCCACAGACTGAGAATATTTTCAAGTCAGATACATGATAAGGAATGTGTATCTAAAATATATAAAGAACTCTCAATTAGGTAATAAAAAGATGACCCTTTTTTTTAAATGGGCAAAGAGTCTGAATGGATGTTTCCAAAGAAGATATACAGATGGTCAATAAGCACATGGTCAGCATCATTAGCCATCAAGGAAACTCAGAACAAAACACAGTGAGACCACTTTACACCCACTAGAATAGTTATAATAAAAAAGACAGATACTGACAATGCTGAGCAGGTGGAGAAATTGGAACCCTCCTATGGTTAGTTCTTCAACTGATGACAAGGTGAAAAAAAAATTGGTCTATACAACGAAATATTATTAGGCAATAAAAGGAAGTAAGGTATTAAGTACTACAAGGTGGGTGAACCTTGAAAATAACACTCTACTTGAAAGAAACCGATCACCGGAAAACACATACCCAATGAATCTGTTCACATGACGTGTTCCTAGTAGGCAAATTCATAGAGACGGAAAAGAGATAAGTGATTGCCTGGGGGAGTAAGGAGATTGGGGCGCAATCACTGGAGGGTGGAGGGTCCCTTTTGGATAATGAAAATGTTCTCAAGTTGATAGTGGGTTGGTTGCACAACTCTGTAATATACTGAAAACAATGGAAATATACATTTGCAATGGGTGAATTGTATGTGTGGGAGTTGTATCTCAATAAAGCTGTTGTTTAAAAAAAAAAAGACCAATTTTTGAGGTATACTTTACTATTTCCTGGTGCTGAGTTACTTTTGTTTACCAGATTGTCTTTTCACCCTAGAGCTGAGCCTCTGCGCTGGGAACCTGCAGCTGGAGAGCAAAAGGAGGGACTTCGCCTCTTCCGGGTGTAGGAAGCTCTACTTTGACACCCACGCCTTCGTGTGTTTACTCGAAGAAAATGGTAATCCTCTCTCATTGCTGCAGAAAAACACTACAGATCATGACTTCTTATGACCTTATCTAATTTCTCACACCGCTCTGACTTCTAAGTCTACAGATAATCTTTTGACCAGTCTCCATTTCTCAAGTCCTCATTTTTTGTTCAAGGACATTACTACCTCTTCAGTACAGTTGAGACTTTTCTCACACGTTTTCTCTTTGTCCAAGTGAAGTGTGTTTCTATAACATCACTCTGGAAGTATGGCGTTATAGACAAAAATTTAGACACAAGTCAGCAGAACTCAAGAATGGTTCCTTTGACAACCGTCTAAGCATAAAAGTGATAGTTTTATTCCTGTGCCTCTTGTGTGCTTTTAAAATTTTTATGAAATTAATATGTTGCTTTGCAGTAGGTATGGATGATTTCAACGTATTGTGGGTTTTTAAGAAAATATTCAAGCTAACATTTTCTCTTACTGCTTTTGAGTTAGTTGATGTAAAAGATTGCTCTGACATATGGCAGTTACTGAAAGTACACTTAATACATAGGTAGCATTCTCATAGTTAATCTTATCTAGACAAATACTCGTTATAAATTGAGTACACATCGTAATTCTCTCTCCTGTGACACGTATATTCTCCAAGTCAGAATCTCAGATATCATAGTTCATGCCTTTGAAATAAACACATCTGTGTTTGGACTTCACAGTTTTTCATCCAGTTGTGCGTGCTCATACCTGAAAAGCTGCCCCCCTGTAGATAGATGAGTTTTCCGTGCCCAGGGCAAGGTGATTCTGTGCTTATGGGGCGGGGGTGGGGCAGAAGCTCTGGGTTCTGGCTCTGCCAGGTTCCAGCTGCGGGGCCCCACAGTAACCTTTCTCCCTTCCCAGGTCCTGTTCCCTCCTTGGTAGCATGGGCATAATAAGAATTTGAGCATTAGATAATGTACTAGAGTGCACGTTAGGAAAATTGTCACACACTCAATGATCATTTTTACAGCTGTTCTTCTCAAACTTGAAATAGTAGTCCTTTTTCACCAAACTTCTTTCAACTCAGAATTTAAAAAAAAAAGTAGAAGTGAAAAGAGGGGCATCTAAAATTATCTTGATAAGCAGAAGTCTTTCTCCTTTTTCTTTTTTCTCTTTGCGCATGTGTGTGTGTGTTTGTGTGTGTGGTGGTGGAGCTTGTATTCTTGTATTCAAAGTAACCAGTTGTAAAAAGACATACTAGAGATAATGGGGGTGTTTCAACACACACACAGGGGTTGGATGATGTCAACGGAGCATCGTTAATTTTGCTAAGTGTGACCACAGCAGGGTGGCAGCAGTGGATGCAAATCCTTTCTCTCATTGAGAGGTGGCGTTTGTTCCCCCTCCCCCGCCTTTAAAAAAATTCATTATTTATTTTTGACAAATAAAAATTGCATATGTTTCATGTTTAAAATGTGATGTTTTGGTATATGTAGTTCCTGCTTTTCTTGATTTCAAGCCCTGACTCAGGAATATTTGCTTATTTCAAGACCAGTGATATGAGGACCCCACTGAAGTGGAGGGCATGACGGTGCTTACGCGAAGGATGGACGTCTAAGATGTGGGTCAGGATAAGGCCAGGGAAAACCCTCCAAGGAATGTTCCATCCTCTATCCTTTTTTTCTCCAGAGTTATGTCTCCTGATTCACAAAACTTCCTGTGTCTGAAATCTCACCAGCACTGCTTCTGTCCTGTTCTCTCATTCCTACACAGGAGGTTTTTAGTCTTAACTTCTGCTTTTTCATAGCCTTTCTCCTCCCATAGGGGGTTCTAAATTACAAGACTTTGGAGTTTATTTGTTTTATTATCAGCGTAAGTTCTCTTTCGGTCTCTTTTTCTTTGCTTCATAATTTCCAAAACTAATTATGTTTAATGATGAACTCTTATTAATAAGTTTTAAAAATTGTGAAAGGCATAGTAATTTTCAGAACATTAAGAGGACAGAAAAGAAACAAGAATCCCAGTACCCCAGACCTGAACAATGTTAACATTTTGGTGGGTGATTTTTTTGGGCAATTTTTCTAGCTGTGCATGACCCACCTGTTGAAAATGAAAGGATTTTGAATAAATAAAGGAAGTAGACCTTTGGAGATCTTTTTTTGGTCTCCTTTAAATCTGTGTTTTTGTCTTTTAAAACTATAGTTCTGTGCTTAATCTCATCCAAATTGTATCAGTTATAACTTTATTCAAACAAATGTACCATGAATTAATTACAAGAATCAGTAAATTCTGCTGAAGTTCTTACAGATGGAAGTATTTAATAGAAAGAATTACATTCCAGGGGCTTGGTGTTAAGCATTTTAATTAGAATTTACAATGTGAAATAAAGTTAGTATCTAAAGTTACTAAAAACAGTAGCACTGCTGAGTTGAATATATAATTCAATTCAGCAACATTTACTGAGTATCACAATATGTTTTCCAGTTTGGGCTCCTCTCAGTAGTGGTTGAGGAGGACTGGGGTAGGAAAATGAAAGAACTGATTTTGTCTTTTAACATTAAGTAAGTTACCACCAAATTATTATTTATATAGCCAATACTTTGATCGATTTATGCCGGTTATGAAATAATTAAGCTTTCTCTTCTGAAGTAAATTTTTTTTTACTACCATATACATTTTAAGATTGTAGAATACCTAGGTAATACAGAGGAAGATAAGAATTACCCAGAATCTTGGTTAAATTACAAAAGCGATTCATTGTATCTGTAATTTTGAGTCTTGCTGTTTTTCATTTCACCTTGCACTGCAGGCATCCCTTTCGTCATTAGACATTCTCTGAAAACATGGTTTTTGACAGCTAGGGAGGACATCAGAGGCAGGCAGCCCAACTCGTCGTCTGACACGAGGAGGCAGACTCAGATGTGTCACATTTGTCCCAAGTGACAGACACATCACAGCCTGTGCCTTGACTCCTCACCCGCCTACGTCACTAGACTCTCCACCTGCCTCTGAATTCAGATGCCCACCTGCATGTATGAGTTTGCGTTTTCTTCCTTCCTATGAAGGCTTTTTTTTTTCCTGATAACTGGAGTCTCCTGAGTGATGGTCTTTGTGTGTTTGCCTAGGGTTTACTACTCAGCAAGCAGAAATCATCGTCTCTGCCTTGGTCAAGATCATGGAAGCCAACATGGACCTTGTCTACAAAGATATGGTCACCAAGATGCAGCAGGTAGCGTTGCCGGCACACTCGAGCAAGTTTAAAATCTGAAGATGGGATATTATTTGTGATGTATGTTTTTGGACAACATTCTGTTGAAAAGCATATAGTAATTTTGAACCATACATCATAGGAAAATAATTCCAGAGGCATAAAGAAATATTTACTCAAAGCGAGTTAGTGAGCTATTATAGAATGATCCCATTTGAAAACTGACTGTTCTAGTCAACAACACTTGAATAAATGGAGATGTGTGTGACCAGAATGATAGCCGTGTGTTCTCAAGCTGCTGGTCTGACCGCCACCCTGTTATCTGTGATTCATCTGGTGCTGCCGCTGGACTTGAGTCCTTATTCTTGTCCTGTTTTGAAACAGGAGGACCTTGCAGAACCTCTTGTGCCGCCGTTGTAGTTTGTACTTAAGATGACACCAGGTGGAGATGGAAGGAGGTGGACTTCTAGGCCGGGCTAGGCTATGTTTTGTGTTTCTTTTTCCAGGAGATCACTCTTCAGCAAGTAATGTCTCAGATTGCTAATGTGAAAAAAGATATGATTATTTTGGAGAAGAGTGAATTTTCAGCCCTCAGATCAGAAAATGAGGTAAAACTGAAGAACCACTCACATTTACAAAATGCTTTACATTGAGACATTGAGATACAACACGCACACACAGACGTGCACAAGGAAGTGTACATCTGGGTGGATTTGCACCGGGTAGGCTGTCAGTCAGATCAAGAAGCAGAAGTTGCCAACACCCCGGAAAAGCCCCGCTCACGCCCCCTTGTGGTCACTCCTCCCACGGCCGACACCACTCTCCCAGCTTACACAGCCATTGACTAGCCCTGCTGTTCCAGAGCTTCATATGATGGAATCACATAGTGTGTCTTGCATAATAGACCATTCTTTTTCATTGTTGACAATATTACAGGAATATGCCATACTATTCTACTGTGGCATATACTAGAGTTGTTTCCAGTTTGGAGTTACTGTGAATAAGTACTGCTGTAAAATATCCCTTAGTTTCTTAAGTGGGGCGTATGGAATCAGCATTTAAGTGCTGTCTGCGTCTTCCTTTTATTTTTAGCCCTATTTAAATGAAGGATGTTCATTTATTACCTATTGATCTTACTCTTACAAGAAACTTTTTAGAAAAAGATTCCTTCTTTTGCTAGCAGAAGGTGAAGTTTGAAACTGTCAAAGCTGTCTTGAAGTCAGCTGTTTGAGGGCAGAATTTAAAAAAATATTGAAGGAAGTATTAAAACAGGGCCTCTGAAGGCAAATGAGTATGTTGAAAAAAAAAAACCAGCTGTGTTACTAATTTTGTGTGGCCTTCAGGATGAGTTAAAACATATCTCAAGACACATCCGTGATTGTAGTACCACCTTGGCACGACAAAAAATCATTTTTGCCACTGAGATTGTTCAGTTAATGTGTTCTGAACGTGGCCAAGTTCATTCATGTCATGAGGGAAGAACTTGAACCTGTGCATAAATATATGTTCTGATATTTCTTATCAAGCTTTATGTTTTTCTTCTATCCTCCAAAACATCCTTGACTGACTTCTTTTTAATGTGTTTTTAGAAAATCAAACTTGAACTACATCGGTTAAAACAACAAGTAACGGTAAGATTCTCAGTCCTGTTTGTTTGCTTGTTTGTGGTCACATTAGCTTAGTGATAAATATAGTGTTAGAAATACTTTGTATGTTCCTAAAAACTTAATTCTGTTTTAAATATTTGTGTGCTGTGTCTCAAAAGTACACATTGGAGGATTTAACTAAGAACACAACCAGTCAAATTACTGATGTCTGTAACGAAATCCATTAAGAAAACTATGATCTAGGAGAAATGAAGACATTTTAAAATAGAAAATCTTCAACAACAGCCACATGGAACTTTTAGATTCTCTTAGGAGAGTCTGTCTTTAAAGAATTACATGTGGTTTTATAAGGCTGACTGTGACAGCTGTTTGATTTTTCTTTTTTTAAGTGGAAAGGTCATTGATGTTAAAGAAGAAAAGATCTTGACAGATGTCAGAAGGAAGGTGTTTTTTAAACGAGAATTTAACCTTTTACTTCTTTGAATCTATCTCAGCTTTTCAAAGTTGTCCAGAGAACAGCTTGATTCATAAATTCCACAAGGCGATTCTGTTGGGAATCTTGAGGTTAAAAATAACAATAACCCACTCTGGATTGACTCAAACATGAAAGGGGATAATTTGTATATTTAACTGGGAAATCCCAAGACAGGGCTGACTTCACGCATGGCTTGACCAGAGTCTCCTGGCCTCATTAGTCCCTCATCCCAGTTCTCTGCCCGCCCTGGCCCTGCCCCTCGGGTGGGAGCAGTAGAGGCAGCAGGCCCAGGCTTACATCCTCAAAGAGTATCCATTTCTTACTTTGGATTTCTTTCTTTCTTTCTTTGTCGTTTGCCCTCCTACTAGGATGAAGTGGTCAAAGTCCGAACAGATACCAAATTAGACTTCAGTCTAGAAAAGAGCAGAGTGAAAGAATTGGTATGTTCCTTTATTAAAACCAGAGTATGGGTTCATTTCTTTGAAAGGTGGAACACTTGGTCAAGTCTAAGTTTACATAAGTATTGTTAAGTATTTACCTGCATATCATTGTTAAACACAGTTTTTTCGTTATTCTGATTATATCTTGGATTAGGGCTGAAATTTGATGCTTTCAGAAGTAACGTTAAAATTAAAATCGTGGTCAAATCAAATTTGAATCTTTTTTGTTTGTTTCAGAGATATTACATTATGGGTCCTTTAGACATGAATAAAGAAGTTAAATTCAATCTTGATCTATTTAACTTTGACTTAAACCTCCGCAGGCCCTGATTTTACAGAAGTTGGTTATCTGACTCGAATAATGTTAAATTATTGATATTACATAATATTAAATGAAATGCTACATTGAAAATTCAAGATTTAAATTATTGCCACATAGTCTTTTTTTTTTAATAGAGAAGCTTAATGACTTTATTGTGTTGTTTTGAAATGCAAATTCTGAATGATTCTTTAAGTTATGTTAAATTGAAATTTTCAGTTAGGAAAAGTAGTGCTGTACATTTATTGCCATAAAGTTTTCACAAATTGTGGGTTGTGAATAAACTATTTTATATACACATATATATATATGTAATATATATATAACGTGAGTACAGCAGCTTGTAGGATCATGCCTGGGGCCTGAAAAAACTGGAAAGAGCAACCTTGCTGCCCTTTGAAATGCCCGTTTATATGCATTTCAAAGGTAATGCATATAAATACAATTCTTTTTCCTCAGAGCTCACACATTAACACTCCTTTTTTTAAAATTTTTCTAATTTTACTGAGGCGCAATTCATACATAACATTATATTTCAGGTGTGTAACATAATGACTCCATATTTGTATATATTGCAAAATGATCGTCCCAGTAAGTCCATCACCACACATAACAAGTTACAAAACTTTTTTTACTCCTGATGAGAACTTTTAAGCCCTGCTGTCTTAGCAAATTTCAGCTCTACAGTACAGTAGTATTAACTCTAGTCACCTTGCTGTACATTTCTTCTCTAGAACGGAGCTATTTTATAACTGAAAGTTAATACTTTTTGACCCCCTTCACCCATTTCACCCACTGCCTACCTCCCCCCCCGCCCCCACCCCCAGCAACCACTAACCTGTTCTCTGTATCTGTGAGCTCGGGCTTTTTGTTTGTTTTTTTTAGATTCCAAGTATGAGTAAGATTGTGTGGTATGTGTCTTTCACTGTCTGACTTACTTCACTTAGCATAACGCCCTCAGGGTTCATCCATATTGTTGCAAATGGCAAGATCTCTTTTTTATTTTATGGCTGAGTCATACTCCATGGCCTGTATATACACCACATTTTCTCCATTCATCCATTGGTGGAAACTTAGGTTCCCCCCGACCCCCGTCTTGGCTACTGTAAATAGTGCTGCAGTGAACGTAAACATCCAGATAAGTTGGATGTTTTGTATGTGTTGGATTGCCTCTAGTGACTTTTAACCCATCTGTCATACTCAGTAGTTTTGGAAGAGAAATGAAATGATAAATTTACACACAGTAGTTTAAATTACCAACGGGTGTTTGATAGGCAGAAATTAAATTAGAATTATCTGGTTTGGAATTTTACGGGCCACTATTTGGGCTGTATTTGAATTTGATAATATTAGTTAGATACCTTCTTTATTCTCAGCATAATAAGAAATGGGGCGTATATAGCATTTTTTGCTAACAGAGAACTAGATGCACATGCAGAAATAGTGTTTACAGTTGTTCGTTGTCTCCTTGTTTTTCACAATTTACTTTTAACCAAAATGTGCTGCAGTGATAAATGGAGCTAATATTAAAAATCAAACAAGTACTGAACTGTATTTCAGAACTACCTCTCGATTTCATGAGTTAAGCTGAGCTTTGTTATGCAAAATAATTATTATGTCCTTGTTTTTCTAGTCTTTCCAGTCTTGAAATACAATCATGATCACTAGCATATGACTAGTATCTACAAGAGGAAAAATTCTTTTGGTTACGTTTTCCTTAAGGGTTGTGCGCTTAGTGAAAACTCTGAATTCACTTAATTTAGGAAGATGCCTGTAGTTAACCAAGCTGGGAAGAACTGTACCTAGGAGATTGGGAAATGTGAGATGGGAAGGTGGATTAAAACCAGTGAATTTATGTGATTTGCTAACCTAGCGGAGAAGTCATCCTTGGTAATCCTAAATTCAGATTACTCTGACGTGCAGGACAGTGTATTATTATGTAGCTAGCATGAATTTAACATGCATTGATGAAAATGAGTTATTTAACTCTCTCGTTCCCTTGTTTAATAGGTATAGTACTATTTCAACAAAATTAACTGTAGTGATATTTACAGCCAGCTTCAAAAGCAGTATGGCCTAGAAACTGCTTTAGGGTGCAGGGAGGTGGGGCCACATAGATGTTATTTTTAAAAATCATCACAATGTCAAGATTGAGGCCTTTCTTTTCTCCTGCAGCTGAGTCAATATTGCCTTAGTGAACACTGGTTTAAAGGGGTGCGGAGAATCCCATTCCACCCCGCCCTCTGGTGGTTATCTGGTGCATAGCTCTCTGAAACCCTGACATTTAAAAACCTGGAGATGAGCATTCTTGGGTCCTGGGACCAGCTCTTGGTTTGGGGTTTGGGGTTTGGGGATTTTTTTCCTTTTTTACTTCTGAGCAATGCTGTTTTAATACTGTGTCCCCCTGATAGTCCCAGAGGAACATTATGTAGCTAGAAAGTTTCTAGATACTTCAAAGCATTAATTTTTCCCCATAACAATATTAATTTATTGAAGAATTTTTAATTCCTCACTTAAATTATAGATTTTAATTCGCTCAATTAAATCTTAATGCCCACTACTAAGGAGACGCGTCTGCTTCTCATCCCAGCGTCAACAAAATTGCACAGAAGTCTTTTCACTGACATTAATAGCCAAAGGCAAGATACCGTTTTAATTCTGGGTGGAACTAGTCAGTTCCATTAGTAACACTGGATTGTGACAACCTTCACATGGGTTTGTGTTTTTTGGTTTGTTTTGCTTTTAATTAAAACCAGCATGTGATGGTTTAGTATATTTCTTGTATCTGCGTATTTACGTAGTGTTTTATAATGACAAGGCAAAATTTATGTCACAGAATAGTATTCCTTGCAACTATTTTTTCCCAACTTTGTATCTTTTCTGTCTTTTGTCTAAGCCTCAAATATTGACGAGTTTTGTTTGTAGTAATGATGGGATAACTCCTAGATTGAACTGTTCCCTGCTTTTTCCAACCCTCTCAAAGCCGAAAAGCCATGACTCAGCATCCATCTAAATTGGTCCCTGGGAACGCTGTTAAAATAGTGGGAGGGACCTGGAGACACCACAGCAAAGAGCTGAAAAGAGAAAACAAGGAGAGAGAGAGAGGCAGAGGATGGCAAAGGGGAATCCAGATGTTGGAGTGATGAGTATCAATAAGAAAGCTCAAAAAACAGGTCTAAAGGAGAAGGCAGTAGGCTGCTTCATTAGGGGTGGCTTCTCATACTACATACTCTTGAAAGTACTGAGCCCAGCGTACTTAAGGCACCAGAGGAGGAGGAGAGAGAGAAAGGAATAAATCAGAATCTGACCTGTGTTCTGTGTTTGTTTCAGTTTTCATTAAATGAAAGGAAGCTCCTGGAAATAAAAACAGAGATGGTGTCCTTGGTAAGACATGAGACTGACTTTTCTTGTTCATTTTATTCATCTTTGCTTCACCCCTGCCTGGTTACTGCTGTTTGTAATGCTGTGTCGTAGGAAAATATGTGCAGGTTTAGTGTCATAGGATTTTGTTTAATTGTGCCAAAATATCCATAAAAATGACCATCGTAACCGTTTTGAAGTGAACGGTTCAGTGTCATTAAGTACATTCACACTATTATGCTGCCATCCCCACCATCCAACCACAGAACGCTTTTCATCTTGCAGAACCGAAACTCTGCCCGTTAAGCACAAACTCATTTCTTCCTCCCCTGGCTACCACCATCTACTTTCTGTCTCTGAGTCTGACTATTCTAGGTAGTTCATCTAAATGGAATCATACAGTGTTTGTCCTTTTGTGTCTAGCTTATTTCACTTAGTGTAATGCCCTCAAGGTTCGTCCATGTTGTAGCTTGTCTCAGAATTTCCTTCCTTCTTAAGGCTGCCTAATATTCCATTGGATGGACATATGTTTTGATTATCCAAGGCGTTGCTCCCCTTGTGGCCATTGTGAATAATGCTATGAACATGGGCAAATATAATCTGCTGGAGTCCCTGTTTTCAAATCTTTTGGGTATATATACCCAGAAGTGGAATATCATAGGATTTGTTTTTTGTACTTAATGAAATACTTAGTTATCTTAGTGAAAGTTTAAGCCTTGGTCATTGAGGAATAATAAGGAATGGAGCTTTTTTTTAAATTATAATTTTTAACTTAACGGCATGCATTACTTCTTTTCCATCCTGTATTACCTGGGACCTCTGAAACCGGCAAGAGTCTTCCATGAGAGAATCCTGAACTATTCGTCTGGAATATTTCACTCATCCATTTATTTCCTTATTCATTACCTGAATTGTTCACCACAGGGAGCTATTTTCCTTGCCCTGGGATTTTTGGTGAAGTATTTCCAGTGCTTTTATGCATTAATGAAATATTACAGACACTTTATAACATCACCTGAACTCTCCACCCTTTGGGAGTTAATTCTGTATCTGGTTTAACTGTATTTCATCTGGGAAAGAACACATACAGGCTCTCAGTAGAGCCAAGCCTCGTAATAATAATAAAAACACTTGGCATTTGAACTGTGAAAGAGGAGAAACCTTTTTAAGAATGTGAATAGAAATAGTGTCAAGGCAAGCACCACACAAGATTGTGTTCATTTTTTTAAAACAGCATTTTTTGTGTACCTTTCACTGAGAGCAGGTCAGAAGGGTGAGGCATATTCATTGCCGCTGAGAACGGACAAGCCTCGTGACCTTAACCTAACCAGCAGAGCGGTCTGCAACTGACAGAAGCCTTCTCCCGTAGGTTAGCACACTTGATTCTCGAAACAGCCTATGTGAAGGCAGGCCTGGCGGTATTTTTCCCTTGTTTCCAGCAGGAGGAAACAGGCCTGGAGACATTTGAGGCCCTGACCAATGCAACACAGAATCAGGCTAGTAGAACTCAGACTAAAGCCTGGGTCTCCTTAGTCCCACCCCAGGCGTCCCGTGACTGCACCCTGACGGGAAGGGGCTCCGGGACTGACAGCTCGGGGGATGTATGCAAAGTGGCCTAATGCCATGACTCTCTCTGTTTTAAAAGCACGCCCAGCAGGATCGGGCCGTCACGCAGACCGACCGGAAGATAGACACCGAGGTCGCTGGCCTCAAAACCATGCTCGAGTCGCACAAGCTTGATAATATTAAATATTTAGCAGGTAAGCCGCTTCGTGCCTAGGTAGTTACAGCAAGCTGAAAGTGAAGTACACGTATAAATAAAGTCAGAGATAGATACTGCATTTCATTGATTCTAACACTTTTTCATATTTTAGCATCTTTGAAATTGGAAGGCGTCTTAATTTCCAGTAGGTGATGAATCATAATTGGCATTTGTTTCTCTCTTAGTGGTAAATAAAATGAGGTACTTTACAATCGAGTGAATCTTTATTTGATAAGATGCTATCATTGAACTGTAGTTATCTAGAATTTTTTTTAGTGTCATTTAAGTCAGGGAGTATTCTACAGATGGAATGAAAGGCTGCTGCATTATGCTCTCTCTGCTTCGACTGGTGGCCCTCCATTTAAGGAGCTATTTTGCTTTTGCAATTTTTGAGCCAAAAGAGGAAATGAAGATTCATGTACCCCCCCCCCAAAATTACTTAGCCATGACTTGCACTCAAATCTTAACATTTTGGATTAATCAGTATTTTGACGTATAATAGTATTTAGAAGTGAATTTTGCGCAGGAAGTTAAAGAGTGTCTCTATGTAGTATAGATGCGTGTACTCTGTGCCCACAGAATTTTTGTGATTCTGCATTCCTGTTGAAAATTTTTCTTGGATATATTTGTATTTTGAAGATGATGATTTCAAGGCGTGGGGTTTTTAATAGGCAGGTGTTTCATGGAATGTTTCACTCCAGTGAGCAAGCTAAGTTTCTTGGGTTTGGTTTTACTTTCTTGGTGGATAAGTGTCTGTTTTCTTAATAAAAAGATGTCCCCCAGAGTAACTATTAATAGAACTAATAATATGCACAATTGTTTGTTTTCTTGCAGGATCTATATTTACGTGCCTAACAGTAGCTCTGGGATTTTATCGCCTGTGGATATAATAAAGTGTCTATTTAAAGAGAACTCTATTGTTTGGCCTTAAGAATACCAGACTGCTGCGCTTTTCTTTTCTCATTTCCAATTTTAATGCTGATTTTTAGTTTAATGCATATTATTTATTTTATGCAAATTATGGACATGTAACCAAGGCAAAGAAGTGAGAGATTCGTAATTGCTCCTTTTGTCTTTTCCATTTAGTTGACTTTATAACTCTGAGTGGTGGTGGACAGAGCATGGAAGACTCCACTTAGCTGGACCAGTGAACTTGGTCTAACCCATGGGACACACCAACACTCAGTATTTGTATTAACTCTACAATTTAAAATCTTTTCGTCACATCGAGGATTTGGGGTCTCCATTTCAAAGGCACGATAGCTTTTCTGAGTGCTGAAGAATCACTGAAACTCGGTCAGAAGCACCAAATCCTCGCTCCCTGTTGACCCAGTCCCTGGCGTCAGGCAGTCCTTGTGTCAGAGGTTGTGTTTCAAGTCCAGTTTGTTCGTATCCTCATGATACAGCTGTACTTCACACCCGCAGGAGATTTTTTTCTTGAATTTCCATTGTCTTAGTAAGTTGTTGTTCTGTTTCTTTTTTATGTGCCTTCCAGCTGGAGAACCTTGTGATTATAGTGGGGCCTCCCTTCTTAAAGTGCTTGGTTTCCCTCCCTCCCGCTCCCTGGGCCCCTCTCCCTCTCCCTCTTGAGTTGAGAGCCGCTGTAACGGCCCAGTTGAGGCATTACCTCCCTGGACACCTTGCTCATCCTCGGCGTGGAAGTCTGCTTCAGTGTGCGGGACAGTGTCCACTTCCTTCTGGTCTTCATCAGCCTTTTTTACAAGGTTTGCCTTCTGTAGCGACATCTAGACACTTAGATGGTGCATGCACTTTTTAGAAATGTCTTTCATGAATATGCCTTTGCCCGTTACAAGCTCAGGTCGTAGGTTTTGAAAATTAGAGAACGGTCATGCCAGGTGTCATCCTAATCTAGCTTGCTTTCTTAGATTGTTAAAGACATTCTCATACCGACCTTACCTCTACATTTAAAACAAGTAAATTCCTAGATTTTACAACCGGGGGTATTTGGGAGACGCACCTTCTCATCTTAGTTGAATGACTTGCACGTAGAGCAAATAAACGTTTGAGAAACCATGACGTTGACGAGCACCTTTCTTTCTCCAGGTACACACGTGTTCACGTTATCTGGTCCAGTGTAGGAACCACAGAGACTCCTGATCAAACTGGTACAATGAAGTACCCATCATCACTGTTCTGTCCACACTGGCAAAAATTACCTTCTGTCCCCTGGATGTAATCTAAACCTTGGAAAGTGTAATTCTTTGCCTTGTTTGACAACGTTTGTGTAGCACAGAGTCTGAGCTGCAGATAAATAAGAAAATCAAATACTTTGACATTAGTGATACCAGTTTCAAACTAAATAATTATTCTTTTTTTCAAATAGATCCAAAATTATCTTAACTGCCTCATGAAGAATATATCATTTTATCAGTATATCCTTCCCCTTTCAGAGAAGAATCCCCAGGAAATAACTGTACATTTAACAGTTGCCTTAATAGTTTTAAAGAGTTAAGTAAATGACATCCCGTTAAGACCACCTTTGCAACATAACTTGGGTTAGTAGGAGCCTGGAGAAGGAGCCTGGGGCACAGACACGCCTCCAAAACAAAGAATCCCCAAGAAGAAAAGTACTGTAGGCAGTTCTGTTCCTAAGCAAATACTAATTTTTATAGATTAAAAACAGAAAGCGAAGTGATCTTTTAACCTGATAAAATATTTTTAAGTAACATTTGGCTGGGTGACATTCTGTCGTCTGCCAAAAGTACTCCGCATGGCATTCGCACTGGTGGTGGTGGGCCGCGTCCGTCTGTCCCTTCCTTTGGGCCACTGATTTTGCTGTGGAGTTCCCTGCAGTACAGAGCAGCCCCCCTCCTCCCAGCCTTGGGAGCCAGGAACCCTCCTTTTGGTAGCGTGGATTGCGTGCTTATTTGGAGGCTAGGAGGGATCGGGACCAGGTTTATTGAGTCAAATGTGTTCAAAAAGCATAGAAGCCAAAAATACAGGTCCGTGAGCAGCGTGAGCCTGCTGGGGCTGAGCTCGTCCGGCTTAGAAGCATGCAGGTCCCTTTAGGAAATTCGGCATGGGCATTCAGAAGGGCGAAGATAACCTGGCAGAACTTTCTGATGGCCTTTGTCTATCACATGGGAAATTAGCTTTTTGGCCCTGAAAAGCACCTCTAGGCAGAGGTGCTCAAAGCAGGATGTCAAGTGGACCGAATCTATTTCCTGTTGATGCATGTCGCTCAGTTCTTAGACGCTTCCTCTGCATCCGCCTTTCTTTTCTCCCCTCCCCTGCTCTTTCTCTTTCTTTAAGAGCCTAACCTCCGACTCCACTCCTTCTCTGCTCCATTAACAAGCCAAGTCCGTTTGTGCATACAGTTCTTTACCGGAAACGTGAGTTTTGATTCCTGGGCTGGTCTTAGTCCTCAGCTGGTTTCCCGCTTAGATTCTAACAAAACTGAATCCCAACGTGTTTGTCTTTTCCCTTAAGTATGCGAGTACCTCAGGTGAGAAGTCACAAATTCAGGAAGAAAGGCTCGACTCAAACCAGAAATCTGGCTGGAATTTGTCTCTGGACTCTAAAAACTAAAATCCCGAGCCTGGTGTCCATGCACCTGCCGGGGTCGCGTCCGGCTCAGCTGTGCCCTTCCCTTTGCTGCCTGCGTAGTGACAACCCCCCCCACCCGCCCACCCGCTTTGACTGGCTGCGTCAGGCTGGCGAGCTCCTCTTCCTCCACCCTGATGTGCTCTGTTCTAAGAATTTTGGCGTCATTTCTGAATAAATGTCAATAGATGGTACCATGGAACCCACACCGAGAAAACTGGCTCTTAACATATGTTTATCAAATGTGTTGTGACTTTTCTGACACTAAAGCAAAAACATGTTAATCAGGGATGATTTATTCTTTATATAAAATGTTTGAGAATGTTTAGTCTTTTATTGGAGTTTCACTCGGAAAATGTCAATCTTTCTGCAGATTTATAACTTATTTGTAACTCGGAGTATAACCCAGGTCGCTTCTTAACCCTTTCATTACTTAAGCAAATATTCAGTCACATTTTACTGTATAAGATTGGGCGTGACATTTTTATTATCTAAAATAAAATATTGAATTCTTTGTGACCAATATACTTTTCTGTTTGTTCAAATTGAATGTGGAAAAATCAGCTTCTGTCTCCACTACATTTCAACTGTTATTCCCTCCAATTGTATATGATAACAACACTGGTATATTATTTAAAAAATCTAATGCCCAAACATGGATTTACATAGAAGATATATTCGAAAGTGATTATTTGACTTACGAAATAAACGTTTCTTACTCAAAAGAATTATTTTAGCATGCTCGTGTAAAGTATTTCAGCTCCTTATTTGAGGAGAAACAAGGTATATATGCAAGTTTTAAAAACCCGCTGAAGATTCAGGTTATAGGTGATAGAAATCCAAATCAGAGCAGCTCTAGCAAAGGGTTCTGGGCGTACACGATCCGAGTTCAGGAATTGCAAAACGAAAATGCCATCAGAGCTCACCTCCTGGCACCTGTTACCTCCTTTTCTCTCTGGTGGACATCGTCCTCTCTGACTGACTGCATGTAGGGAGCATTGGAAGCAGCCAGCGCCTGCCCTACAACTCAGGATAGGAAAGTTCCACTTGGAAAGAGCCTGGAGGGAAGAATCCAAGGCCAGCAGCTGAAATGAATGGCTGTCATCCCGCCTCTGAGGAGCCCAGCTCTTCTGAGTCGACCTTCCGTGTGCTAGACCTCTGCTTGAGAGGAAAGAAAGGAACGTCGTGGGAAAGTGGATAAATGAAATGGAAAGAGAGCCCGGGAATCTATTTTAGGTACATTTCATTCTCTGCAACCAGAAATCTTTTACTAGAATTAGAGAGTCACATAAACTAACTAGAGTGGAGGGTGAGCCATCAAGTTCCTCAAAGACCCTGAATGGTTTGCACACTCAGCCTTCACGTGTAAACGGCGTGCCGTCGGTGTTCAGAGGTTGGTCCTCCACCTGCCTTCTCACCTTGATCCTGCTTTCACATCTGCTGTGTGCAGACAGACCTTTTCTTTGCCATAGGTCTTTGATTTCTTTAAGAAAATTGTTTTGAAGAAAGATATTTTCTGGAAACAGCTTTGTCTCTGGAATCTACACCCCTGGCATTCCACAGCACAGCCTTGCCGTTCCTCGGGCTGGCAGCCGTGTCTGCCCGCAGTCTGCAGTTGCCACCGGCGCATCTCAGACTGTAGGATCCTGGCGAGGGGTCATGGTGACCACTGTCAACCACAGGTGGAGCTTGGGCATCCTCAGCTTAATATGCTGAGAGCAGTGAGCTGCTGGTCTTCTTGGACATTTCGCAGGTATGTAGACAACTATGTTTAGGCCATCACTCTCAGGAATAAGAAGTTGATACTCACATGCTCACATTTTACAAGGTCCTAAATTTTCCTTTCAATTTAATTTTTTTTTGCGTAGTCTGTTTTGATAAACCCTAATATGCTGTTCAAGACTCTGAAGTTTCAAGTCAGCTTAGCATAAAGCCCAGGAGCTGCACTCACAGCTTCAGCTCAGCATGTCATTTCTGCAGTTACTGTCTTTCAGAGAAACGTCTTAAAAACTTTCCTCCCCAGCCATCTCAGACTCTACAACATCCATTCTCCCAGGAGAAAAGAAACAGCTGCTTAGCGGCCTCCTGACCCTCAGCATGGAAGTCAGCATTTGCCTAGCACAGAAATATTTTTCACTATTTCTCTTTTACTTTTATCCTAGTTTACGGTTTGCATAAACTTCACAGCCTTCCAAGAGGTGCTATAATAGGCGGTGTCTCTCCCAAACCTCAAGAATTGCTATCTGTGAAAATCTCAGTGGTAAGACTTTGCGGAGAACAGACAGAAGCTTGGGGGAATCCAGATATCCAGTGAACCCAAGAGAGCACTTTAAAAAATTGTTTTTACATTTATGTCAGTTGAATGCTTTCAACTGCAAGTAACACAAAACTAATAGTGACTTATACCTAATGACTTTTATTTCTTACTGAAGTCTAGCAATAGATGGTCCTCAGGATTGGGTTGGCAGCTCAACCCTTCATCTTTCCTCCTTTGCCTTTCTCTGTGTGTTAGCTTTCAACTTCGGCCTTTGGGTTACCCGATCACAAAATGGCTGCCACAGCTCCAGGCATCACATCCTTACACAGCAACATGTAAAGCAAAAAGAGATGCAAAAGAGTTCTCATGTCTTTCTCCCTTTAATCATTCTCCCTTTATGTATCATAGTCTAGGATTAGGTCCCATGGCCACCTGTAGCAGGACAGGTTGCAAAAAAGATAGTGTTTAACTTTTTCAGCCCCTCTGGTAGGAGGTGGGCACTGAAGAAAGAGGCTGGAAATGGTTGTTGGGTTGACATTTAACAGTGTTGTTTACAAAATAAAACACAGGCTGTACACTAAAGAGAGCCACCCGGGTAGCTTAAAGTTGCCATCCCTTAGTGGCTAGAAACAGTTCAGAATGTCCTTTCCTTTTATTTCCAATAACATGTGGGTAATTTTATTTTATTCTGTGCCACATAACATTTTCACTGGTTCTCTAACCAAATCGTAATTCCTGTGTTTATTTTGTAACTAGTTTCCACGTTCCCCCATTGTTCCAAAAAACTAGCATGCTTGAAGAAAAATAAAGTTGCTAGTGAAAAACTTCACCTATACATTTGAGTATTTCTCAAAACACCTCCTCCATGTACAGGGTTATACACCCTTAACTTTGCTGTATTATTATAGCCAAAGCACAGCACGGCCCCAGGACCACTCCCTTCCTGTGCAGAGGAGCAGGGTGGGTGTTGCAGGTCCAGGGTCCCGACCCTGACTTTCTCTCCCACTGCCTTAGGCTGCATCCTACACTCCATCTCCTTCTTGTGCTCTCTTCCCAGCCTCCGGGTTTCCTGTTCTCTGTCTCCTGCCAGAATAATTCAGAACAGGCGTACCTGATCTGAAATTCGTATGGTTGCGGGAAGTGCAAAAAGCAAGTCTACGTTTGGTGGAATTCAAGGTGGGCGAGGGATGACTATGGCACAGTTGTTGGCCCCTGGGCTTGTTCAGGGGGCCGTGGACCTTGAAGGTGTCATGTTGTCTATCAGACAATATGTCCTTTGTGAAATGCTGCAGATTCTGACGTGTCTAATGACTTCATACAACCCAGGACAAGAGTACCTGCAGAAAGTCTGCTTCTGATGTGTGTATGCAATTGAAATCAAGGTCAGGGTCTCATGAAAGCAAAAACAGCTGTTGAACTAAGCATGGTCAGTTAGTTCTGGGTTTTCTGCATTAATACATAAGTGAATGCCTTTGCCTGGTCATGAGCATCAACCAGTGGCAGTTGGGAAAGGAGGATTAGGTCCACAAGGTTGAAGAAAACTCTTAAGGGAAAAAGATGGAGAAAAGCCTGTTGATTTCTTCCTGCCAATTAATAGAACCATGATTATTTTGCTTCAGCAGCGCTATATCTTGGTCTGGTTGCTAAACACCAGTTTTTACAGGCAGATAATTTCACAACCAGTAATATGATGAGTCAGGAGCCCTGGGCTCAGCCCCCAGCCGTGCCACTTGCTGTGCTCTTGGAAAAAACGTTTAACCTTGCCAAGCCTTAGTCCATGCATTTCTGAAATAACAACAATTAGAAGGAGAATGAGAATAATTACAGCGCATTTGTTTACTGTCTTTCAGGCACAGTTCTGAAGTCTTCACATGCTCATTTAATCTCCATGGCATCCCTATGAAGTAAGTACTGTATAATCACCTCCAGTTTACAGATGAGGAGATCAAGGCAGGGAGAGTCGGAATAACTTGCCCGAGAGCACCCAGTGGTGACTCCAGATTCAAACCAAGCTTTCGGACTCCGAGGAACAGGGGCCTGACCCAACTGAGAGCACTTGGTGAGAGTCAAGTGAGGCAAAACGTGTGAACGTGTTTTGTAAACTATAAAGTCACACGTGCACAGAAACATGTTGCAGCCCATGTGGGATAACTGGCATCACTTACGAGCGGTGACGAGGAATATTACCCACACCACCACCCGAACAAGTAAATTTCCCCGAGTGTGTTCCCTAGCAACCAGCCCAGAGCATCAGGACAGGCCATGCAGTAGCCTAGCCAAAGGGCACAATGCTCTGAATGGCTAGTGTGGAGGCTGCAGCGGGTGCTGGAGGAGAGTGGGTAACTGCGGGCACTGAGTGCACTCTCGGGGATTGCACCCCGCCCCAGCCCTTCACAGAAACCCCAGGGTGACTGTGACTCTGGTTTTCTTTGGAGATCTTTATATAAAAGGATTGGTGTTGGCATGAAGCCCACTGGTTCATCCAGCGTTTAGGCCTTAAATGATTCCTTGTGGTTTAGTTCGGCATCCTTCTTTTTGAGACACGATCGTTAGCTAGAATATTTCATTCTTAATCAACCAAGTCAACCATCTGTAGGACTACAGGAGAAAAATTTCAGCTGCTTTTCAAAGGTTTCCCAGAAAGCTGGGCTACCCAGATCCTGACCAGGCCCTTGGGAACATTTACATCTCATCCAAAGTCTGTTTTATTTGGATAAAACCCTTCTTCGCTTGCTCTCAGCTTTCCGTGGAAACCATGTGTCTCCTACTCTTCTCAAGCCAAGCAAGACTTCAGATCTCAAAGAGGTGGAGGAAGAGAGGGTACACTTAGAGGGCACACCATACTTTCACCCCAAACTCGTGTGTTAAAAAGTTATATGTGTATATATATATATATATATATATAAAACATACATACATTCACACTCACAACTTTACCAGAATAGGCAAAGCCACAGAGACAGAAAGTGGACTGAGAATTGCCTGGGGGTGGGGAGAAATGGAAAGTGAATGCTAATACTACAGAATTTCTTTTTGGAGCAAGTGATGAAAATGTTCTAAAAACTAGTTTTGGTGATGGTTGCACAACGCAGTGAATGTGTTGAGAACCACTGAATGGCACATTTTAAATGGGTAAATCGTATGTTGAACTCTAGCTCAATAAAGCTGTTTTTTTAAAAAAAAAAAAAAAGTCCATTCTACACTCTCCATTTACAGATGAAGCACCAAAGCCTGAGAATCATGCAGTTGACAGTGTGAGTCA